GCAAACAGTAAGGCATGGGTCACTAGGGACTTTTTCTATGACTGGTTACATCATGCATTTGCCCCCAATGTGAAAAATTACTTAATTGAAAAGAAATTAGACCTTAAGTGCCTCCTGGTATTAGACAATGCTCCTGGTCATCCTTCAGACATTTCAGAGCGACTTTCTAGGGACATGAGCTTCATTAAGGTGAAGTTTTTTGCCTCCTAATACCACTCCTCTCCTGCAGCCCATGGACCAGCAGGTTATTTCCAACTTCAAGAAACTGTACACAAAAGCTATGTTTGAAAGGTGCTTTGTAGTGACCTCAGAAACTCAACTGACTCTAAGAGAGTTTTGGAAAGATCATTTTACCATCCTCAGTTGTGTAAACATTATAGGTAAGGCTTGGGAGGAAGTGACTAAGAGGACATTGAACTCCGCTTGGAAAAAACTGTGGCCAGAATGTGTAGACAAAAGGGATTTTGAAGGGTTTGAGGCTAACCCTGAGAATCCTATGCCAGTTGAGGAATCCATTGTGGCATTGGGGAAGTCCTTGGTGTTGGAGGTTAGTGGGGAGGATGTGGAAGAGTTGGTGGTGGAGGACAGTGAAGAACTAACCACTGATGAGCTGCTAGATCATCTTCAACAGCAAGAGGGCACACCTGAGGAAACTGCTTCAGAGGAGGGAAGAGAGAAATTGAAGAAGTTGCCTACTTCTAAGATAAAGGAAATGTGTGCAAAGTGGCTTGAAGTGGAAACCTTTTTTGATGAAAATCACCCTGACACAGCTACTGCAAGCCGTGCTGGTGACTATTACACTGACAATGTTGTGAACCACTTTAGGAAAGTCATAAAGGAACGAGAGGTACAGGCCTCTATGGACAGATATGTTGTGCGACAGAAGTCCAGTGACTCTGAAGCTGGTCCTAGTGGCATTAAAAGAACAAGGGAAGTAACCCCAGAAAAAGACTTGCTGCCTCAAGTGCTAATGGAAGGGGATTCCCCTTCTAAACACTAACACCTCTCCCCTCCTCCCATCCAATCAATCATCACCAGATCTTCAATAAAGGTAAGTGTCATGTAACTGTGCATGTAATCTTCAGTTTGTGTGTATTAAAATTAATATTTCATGTGGTAAAAAATTTTTTTTTTCAATACTTTTGGGTGTCTTGCACGGATTAATTTGATTTTCATTATTTCTTATGGGGAAAATTAACTTGACTAACGATAATTCTGACTAACGATGAGCTCTCAGGAACGGATTAATATCGCTGGTCGAGGGTCCACTATATATAAAAGATGAAATAACTTTTAAAAACACTTAAAATTTTGGAGTTTCCAGACATAATGGAGAGACTTAGTGCTTACGGATCTCACAGAGAATGTAAACAAACCGGGTGGGGCGCGGTGACCGTATTAGAAAGTCAGGTGGGGGGAGCCGTATAGCGAGTTTTGGTCATAATTTGAAATGACCGTATTAGCGGAATGCCGCAAAGCGAAACGCCGTAAAGCAGGGCCCTACTGTACTTCTCCCTCCTTGCATCACTTCTACTTTGTAAAAATCTCTCATATGCTAGCTTTTTCTCCCTTACTACTTGAACCCGGACCCTCACCGTGTGAAGTGAGAGCTTTTGCCACTAGGCCACAGAGCACTGTAATGAACATCAGTCTGTAAATTACATTGCTCAGCTCTGTAGTGCACTTAAATACTGCCACTCAAAAAAGGTGGTTCATAGACATAAAACCTGAAAACATTTTGATTGCTGGGAATGATATGCTGAAAATTGCAGATTTTGGGTGGTCTGTTCATTCTTCTAAGGAAAGAAAGATAACCCTACTTCACATTATCTGCCCCCGAGATGACTGAAAGTCGTAAATATGGTGAAAAGGTTGACATTTGGTCCTTGGAGGTACTATCTGTGGAAAACCCTCCTTTGAAGCGACATCAGAAACTGAGACTTTCAGAATTATTATTATTATAATCAAAAAGAAGTGCTAAACCACAAGGGAAGAGACTTTCAGAAGAATTTCTCAAGTTGATATTCAATTTTCTAGTTTTTTTGGGAAGATGTTTAGGATCTGATATGCAAGCTAGTGCGCTACAACCCCAAAGAACGACTGACTGTAGATGAAATCATGGAGCATTGCTGGATCAAGAAGCATTATGATCTTGATGTGCTGCCTCCAAACCCATGTGTCAAGTACATGAAAAGTGCTCTGTTGCAGTTATGAAAAACACTGAGAGGATTTCTTCTCTCCTAGATCATGAAGGACTTACAGTTATATAAAGGCTGTACTTTTTGTATATTTGTGTGTGTCTTTAGATTCATCTCTGTGTTCAACTGAAAATGCTCTTTCAATTTTGAACTATAATTTAGTACAGTAAATTTAAGGTCTACATAGAGATGTTGAACAGTATTCTTCCTCCATAAGCCTAAGCGTGTGTTACTTTTGTTTTTCTTTTTGGGCCAAGTTGCCTTGGTGGGATATGGCTGGTGCATTGAAAAAAGAAGCCTGTTGAGTATACCTAGTAAAGTGTATAGCAATTATTGAAAGAATTAAGAGTAAGATGGAGAGCAGGACTGCAGATGAACATGGAGATTTTAGGAAGTGTTGGGGGTGTGTAGACCAAGTGTTTACAGTGAAACATACAGGTGACCTGTATTTAAATAAGGGTAAAGAGGTGTTTGTGGCATTTATAGATTTGGAAAAATCATATGATAGGGTGGATAGGGGACAATGTGGCAGACGTTGCAAATGTATAGAATAGGAGGTAGGTTACTGAAAGCAGTGAAGAGTTTTTATGAGGATAGTGAGGCACAGGTTAGAGTATGTAGGAGAGAGGGAGATTATTTGACAGCTAAATTAAGCCTTGGACAAGGATGTGCAATGTCACCATGGTTGCTCAATATATTTATAGATGGGGTTTTACGAGAAGTGAATGCTTGGGTGTTGGTAAGAGGTGTTGGATTAAAAGATAAAAAAATCTAACAGAGTGGTAGTTCTAACAGTTGCTCTTTGCTGATGACACTGCTTTTGGGAGATTCTGAAGAGAAGTTCCGGAGGTTGGTAGATGAGTTTGGTAGGGTATGTAAAAACAGGAAATTAAAAGTGAACATAGGAAAGAGTAAGCTACTAAGGATAACAAAAAATTTAGGTAGTGAAAGACTAGACATTAGATTGGAGGGAGTATGGAGGAAGTGATTGAATTCAGATAGTTGGGAGTGAACTTGTCAGCAGATAGGTGTATGAAAGATGAGGTGAATCATAGAACTGGTGAGGGGTAAAATGAGTGTGGTGCACTGAGGATTCTGTGGAGACAAAGAATGTTATCCATGAAAGCAAAGAGGGAAATGTATGAGAGTATATTTATACCAATACTTATATGGGTGTGAAGCATGGGTGGTGAATGCTGCTACAAGGAGAGGGCCAGAGGCAGTGGAGATGGCATGTTTGAGGGCAATATGCAGTGTGAATATAATGCAGAGAATTTATCGTTTGGAAAATTAGTAGGAGGTGCGGGTTACTAAAAGTATTGTCCAGAGGGCTGAAGAGGGATTGTTGGGATGGTTCCAACATTTAGAGAGGATGGAACAAAATAGAATTTGAAGAACATATAAATCTGTAGTTGAAGTAAGGCAGGGTAGTGGTCGTCCAAAGAAAGGTTGGAGGTAGGGGGTAAAGGAGGCTTTGTGTGTGAGGGTCTTGGACTTCCAGGAAGCGTGTTAGATAGGAGAAAGTGGATACAAATGATTTTTATGACTTGACATGCTGTTGGAGTGTGAGCAAGGTAATATTTATGAAGGGATTCAGGGAAATTGGCAGGCAAAACTTGAGTCCTAGAAGTGGGAAGTATGGTGCCTGCACTCTGAAGGAGGGGTGTTGATGCTGCAGTTTTATAATTGTAGTGTAAGTGTACCTCTGGCAAGACAGTGATGGAGTGAGCAATGACAAAAGTGTTTCTTTTTGGTGGGAAACGGATGATGTGTTACAAAAAAAAAAAAAAAAAAATTGGAAAAGTAGGTGTTACAGTACTGATATTTGTATGCACATTACTGGGTTTTGTTACACAATTATTAATCAACTGGGGAGAAGGGGTTTAGGGGGAAGCACAGAAGCTTCGATATCTGAATATTACTTTGACCTTATAGGTCACGTATCACTCTTAACAATAAAAAAAATAATACACAAGACATGTAAGAATTATTATTATTATTATCACACTGGCCGATTCCCACCAAGGCAGGGTGGCCCGAAAAAGAAAAACTTTCACCATCATTCACTCCATCACTGTCTTGCCAGAAGGGTGCTTTACACTACAGTTTTTAAACTGCAACATTAACACCCCTCCTTCAGAGTGCAGGCACTGCACTTCCCATCTCCACGACTCAAGTCCGGCCTGCCGGTTTCCCTGAACCCCTTCATAAATGTTACTTTGCTCACACTCCAACAGCACGTCAAGTATTAAAAACCATTTGTCTCCATTCACTCCTATCAAACACGCTCACGCATGCCTGCTGGAAGTCCAAGCCCCTCACACACAAAACCTCCTTTACCCCCTCTCTCCAATCTTTCCTAGGCCGACCCCTACCCCGCCTTCCTTCCACTACAGACTGATACACTCTTGAAGTCATTCTGTTTCGCTCCATTCTCTCTACATGTCCGAACCACCTCAACAACCCTTCCTCAGCCCTCTGGACAACAGTTTTGGTAATCCCGCACCTCTCCTAACTTCCAAACTACGATTCTCTGCATTATATTCACACCACACATTGCCCTCAGACATGACATCTCCACTGTCTCCAGCCTTCTCCTCGCTGCAACATTCATCACCCACGCTTCACACCCATATAAGAGCATTGGTAAAACTATACTCTCATACATTCCCCTCTTTGCCTCCAAGGACAAAGTTCTTTGTCTCCACAGACTCCTAAGTGCACCACTCACTCTTTTCCCCTCATCAATTCTATGATTCACCTCATCTTTCATAGACCCATCCGCTGACACATCCACTCCAAATATCTGAATACATTCACCTCCTCCATACTCTCTCCCTCCAATCTGATATTCAATCTTTCATCACCTAATCTTTTTGTTATCCTCATAACCTTACTCTTTCCTGTATTCACCTTTAATTTTCTTCTTTTGCACACCCTACCAAATTCATCCACCAATCTCTGCAACTTCTCTTCAGAATCTCCCAAGAGCACAGTGTCATCAGCAAAGAGCAGCTGTGACAACTCCCACTTTGTGTGTGATTCTTTATCTTTTAACTCCACGCCTCTTGCCAAGACCCTTGCATTTACTTCTCTTACAACCCCATCTATAAATATATTAAACAACCACGGTGACATCACACATCCTTGTCTAAGACCTACTTTTACTGGGAAATAATTTCCCTCTTTCCTACATACTCTAACTTGAGCCACACTATCCTCGTAAAAACTCTTCACTGCTCTCAGTAACCTACCTCCTACACCATACACTTGCAACATCTGCCACATTGCCCCCTATCCAATTAAAATTAAAATTAAAACTAAAACAATGCACATCGGTTAAAACCTCCGCTGAGGTTCCAGTAATTTCATATAAAAGCTACAACCTACGTCTAAATGCCAAACTGTGAGAAAGGAGTTGCTACATAGTTTGCAATGTGCTTGTGAGTCGGGTGCATGTTGTAAGATATAATAAGTGTCAGAGTACCTGGGAGCTGCATGTTACAAGACATACTGAGTGTCAGAGCACCTGGGAGCTGCATGTTACAAGACATGCTGAGTGAGTGTCAGAGCACCTGGGAGCTGCATGTTACAAGACATACTGAGTGAGTGTCAGAGCACCTGGGAGCTGCATGTTACAAGACATACTGAGTGAGTGTCAGAGCACCTGGGAGCTGCATGTTACAAGACATACTGAGTGAGTGTCAGAGCACCTGGGAGCTGCATGTTACAAGACATGCTGAGTGAGTGTCAGAGCACCTGGGAGCTGCATGTTACAAGACATACTGAGTATCAGAGCACCTGGGAGCTGCATGTTACAAGACATACTGAGTGTCAGAGCACCTGGGAGCTGCATGTTACAAGACATACTGAGTGTCAGAGCACCTGGGAGCTGCATGTTACAAGACATACTGAGTGTCAGAGCACCTGGGAGCTGCATGTTACAAGACAAACTGAGTATCAGAGTACCTGGGAGCTGCATGTTACAAGACATACTGAGTGTCAGAGCACCTGGGAGCTGCATGTTACAAGACATACTGAGTGTCAGAGCACCTGGGAGCTGCATGTTACAAGACATACTGAGTGTCAGAGCACCTGGGAGCTGCATGTTACAAGACATACTGAGTATCAGAGTACCTGGGAGCAGGTTATGAGTGAGGTACACAAACACGCTGCTAGTATGGCAACTTCTCTATAGGAATTTTGCCTTTCACTGATTATTTTTTGTGAAAATCTCTTTACACACTTTTACCAGTGATAATGTCTCTGTTTTATGAGTTTTGGTATGTCTTACTAGATCACTGTGTCGTTTAAAGTCTTTACCACACACTGAACAATGATATGGTTTCTCTCCTGTGTGAGTTTTCATGTGATTTGTCAAATTATTTTTTTGTGAAAAGTCCTTCAGACACACTGTACACTGATATGGTTTTGCTCCTGTGTGAGTTCTCAAGTGTACTTCTAGGTGATTTTTTTGTGAAAACTCCTTAAAACACACTTCACATTGATATGGTTTCTCCCCAGTATGAACTCTCATGTGTTGTACTAACTCATTTTTTTGTTTAAAATCTTTTGCACATTCTGAACACTGATATGGTTTCTCTCCAGTATGAATTCTCAAGTGTCTTATGAGAACAGATTTTTTTGAAAACCCCTTCCCACACTCTGCACACGGATATGGTTTCTCTCCTGTATGAGATCTCATGTGTGTAATCAGGTAATTTCTTTGTGTAAAGTCTTTATGACACTCTGGACACTGGTGCGGTCTATCAACTGTAAGTATTTTCTCTCCTGTATGTATTTTCATGTGTGTTATTAAAACACCTCTTCGTGCAAAGTCTTTCTGACACACTGAACACTGATATGGTCTCTCTCCTGTATGACTTCTAATATGTGTTACTAGATGACTTTTCCTTACAAAATCTTTTAGACATATTGAACACTGAAATGGCTTCTTTTTTGCATGCGATTTTAAGTGGGTATCTAGATTAATTTTTTCTGTAAAATCTTTTAGACATATATTACACTGATGTTTCTTGTCTTTTTCATGAGATTTCATGTGATTTATTAAGTCGTCTTGTTCTGAAAACCCTTTAACACACTCTAAACACTGATGTGGTTTCTCTCCTTCGTGTGTTCTCAGGTGTCTCACAAGATCACATTGATCTGAAAAATCATTTAAACACTTTGGACACGTAAAAGGTTTCTCAGGTTTGTCAACACTCATTGTGTTACTACAATACTTACTTATAAACAACACTAATGTGATTCCTGCTCACATATCTAATTACAATATGTGTGATATTTTATATATATATTTTATAAACAACATCAGTGTTGTTTATCTTCTATAGGGTCACAATTATTTTGTTCTTAATGCTAACTTTCAAGAAAATTTTGATTCAATAAAAGAGTCACTGATTTTATTGTAGTTTTTAATAACACCAATAACATACCTTGATATTTTTATGCATATTGAATGAAAAATAAAATTGGGAAAAAAAATTTAAAATTAATGAAAATTTTACTGAAAGAAGAGTGTCAATGTGTCAAACACACTAAATGAATTTAAAATAGTGCATATTATTTAATTTAACCATTACAAGTCACAAAACATTCCCAAAAAGATAAAAAGTTGCTCAAGAATTTGTCACTATAAAAAATTCATAAACCTATAAACAATTGCAAGAATCCATTAATAATATTCAAAAATCAAGTTGGTAGGTCTATAAAAAAAAGGTGTCAAAATTGTCCAGCCTCACTGAAAACACCAGGAGGTTTAAGGCAACCTTGCATGGGAGAACTGAAACATTTACTGAACACCTGAAGCAGTGTTGTACTTCAGTGATGCCAGCTACAATGTACTGAACATGCAAGGCAATGTTGCACATCAGTGATGGCAGCTACAATGTACTGAACACACAAGGCAATGTTGCACCTCAATGATGCCAGCTACAATGTACTGAACGCATGAGGCAGTGTTGTACCTCAGCGATGGCAGCTATGATATACTGAGCACATGGGGTAGCTGCAAGAATAATGCTTCTTGTGACAGCAAGAACAGTAGCAGCTGAAAGAGGAAAGAAGAAACATTAACATTACTTGAATCAAACTTAATATAAAAGCACGTAATTCTCTTGTTATAAGCACACTGTTAGGATCATGACACTCTTTAGCTCTCTTAACCCTTTCAGGGTCCGTGCCGTAGATCTACAGCTTTACGTTCAGGGTCCAAACCGTAGATCTACGCCATGAGCTCAGCTCACTTTGATAAGCTGTGAGCAGTAAATTTGAGCCCAGATATGAGAGAATACATCTATGTGGTATGTGTGCACCACATAAAACAAATCCTGCAGCACACAGTGCATAATGAGAGAGAAAAAATGAGACCGTAATTTTCAATTAAAACAGCGAATTTGCAGTGCTTTTTCATATGTTTTTTATAGAATGGAAGATATACTACAGAAATTGAGATGATTTTGATTGGTTTTAGTACTGGAAATGGCTTGAAACTGAGCTCAAAGTAGCAGAAATGTTAAATTTTTGCTGATGTTCAAGAGTAAACTGGAGGGTATGATATACATTCACAAATGTGGTGATATTATTTATACAATTATTACAGTATTGCATAACAGTAAATCTTCTATTTTTTGGTTTGAATAAAAATTCATTATGTGAATAAAAAATCAAAATGGAATTCATTTGTAAAACCTGAAAACGTAACTAATGAACAGAGGAAATGTTAGTTTAGTGCCAGGAATGCCTGCATTGTTTATTCTGGACCCTATTTTGAAATTGGAATATTTTGAACTTTGCATTAAATTGGCCAAATTGCCAATTTCCGGTCACTTTATTTTGTTGTTGAAACAGTTGACAATTGATAGAACAGTGCTCAATTGATAGAATAGAAGTAATACTAGTGAAATGGCTAAGAATTTGGTTGACTGGAATACTGTAATTGCCGACATATCAAAATTCGCGAGAGCATACTTTCGTCAATTTTCCATCAAATTTCGTACTTTTTGTTTTATTACCTTCAGAAAAAGATTCTCTACCATTTTATAATAAAAAATAACAAAATTATTTTTTTAAAATTCTTGGACCCTGGTGCACACTTTGAAATTTGGCCTCTGGAACCTGAAAGGGTTAATATTGCTCTCTGTGTCAACTATAAAAAAAATAATTTTACTTCTAAAATTAGAGAAATTTTTTCTGAAGGTAATGACACCAAAAGCACAAAATTTGACAGAAAACTTACAAAATTACACAAGAGCAAAGTCAGCGGTCTGAGCAATATTTTTGCACCAGTGATTTCGCTCATTTTGAATACTATTTTAACCCTTTGAAGGTCCAGTCCATAGTTCTACACCTTGTCCACATGGGTCCAAGAAATTTCAAAAAAAGTTTTTGTTATTTTTCTTATGAAATGGTAGAGAATCTTTTTTTAAAGGTAATAAAATGAAAAGTATGAAATTTGATGGAAAACTGAGAAGATTACACTCGCGAATTTTACTGCATCAGCGATATTTATGCATTGTCAATTCTGCCCACTTTGACTCCTATTTTAGGCCAATTACATTTCCAACCGACCAAATTCTTAGCTATTTCACTAATATCACTTCTATTTTATCGATTGAACACAAGAAACTGCCCAATCAACTATTTCAACTACCCAATAAGGCGATCAGAAATTGGTAATTTGGCTAATTTTACACAAAGTTTAAAATATTCCAATTTCAAAATAGGGTCCAGAGCTTATTTATTTATTTATTTTATGTCTTTGCAAACAGTACATTGAGATTTTGTATTTACAATAGTGGGTTGCAATGTAAAGAGAGCCTCTATTATGCCTAGGCATTATGGGCCAACTTAACATTATTGGCTTACAGACTACTAAACACTAAGGATTATATCATAGTACAGTAGGATAGTAATTATTTCATAGTTGTACAGTAGATTATTAATTATAAGTGAATCTAATTTATATAAGACAAAAGATACATTCATATATTCTAAAATGCTTTTTGTGAAACCAATGATTCAATTATATTCCTGTCAACAATGGATAAAAGGTTCAAAGTGATTGCTGAAGTTATGATGCGGGAGTACATAAGTGAGTATGTGTGTACTGAGTATTTAGCGTTTAGTCTAGGGTGATTAAGTGGCTTTTGAGTAGAGTCTTAAACTCATTTTCAAACTGGGTTACTTTAATATCTTCAGGTAATGAATTCCATATTTTGGGGCCCTTTATGTGCATAAAGTTTTTACACATTGTGATATGGACACGAGGTGTATCAAAAAGAGATCTGTGTCTTGTGTTGTGGTCGTGTGTCCTGTTTAGGTTGGTGAAGAGAAGTTCAAGTGATGGGTTTATATTTGCATGAACTGTTCTGTGTATGTAGTAGGCACATGAATAAGTATGGATGTTCTCAATGGTGAGCAGATTCAAACTTCTGAAAATTGGAGGAGTATGCTGGTGGGAGTGGGAATTTATCATTCTTACTGCTGCCTTTCGCTGGGTTATGAGGGGTTTTAGGTGACTGGATGTTGTTGATCCCCATGCACAAATTCCATATGTAAGATAAGGGTATATGAGTGAATGGTACAGTGCCAGGAGAGCTGATTGTGGAATGTAGTACCTTATCTTTGATAGTATGCCTATAGTCTTGGAGATTTTCTTGGTGATTTGCTGTATGTGTGTCCGGTACTTAAGGTTACTGCCAAGGTGGATACCTAGGAATTTTCCCTCTGTGAGTCTTATGACTGATGATCCATTTAGCGTTATGTTAATTGGATCATTTGCAGCTTTGTTTCCAAACTGAATGAAATAGGTTTTATCAGTATTCAGGGTAAGTTTATTAGTCATCATCCAGGCAGATATTTTCTGCAATTCGGCATTGACTGTGTTTGCTAGTATGACTGTGTTTGGGTGGGAAAAGACATATGTAGTGTCATCTGCAAATTATATGGGTTTGAGTAGCTGTGATGCATTCGGTAGATCATTGATGTAGATGGAAAGAGGAGTAGTCCAAGGACACTTCCTTGTGGGTCTCCTACTGTGATTGGTTGGGTGAAAGAGTTTGCATCATTTGCATACATATATTGTTCTGTTACTAAGGTATGATTTTAGGTAGCTGAGGGAGTGGCCTCTGATCCCATAGTGCATTAATTTGGAGTACAGCAGTTCATGGTTGACTGTATCAAAAGCTTTACGTAAGTCGATGAAAATGCCCAGCGGGACTTCTTTCTTTTCAAGTGCGGTATATATTAGTTCTAGCATGTGTATGATAGCATCATTCGTGCTTTTATTATTCCTGAATCCAAACTGACAAGGGTTAACCCCTTCAGGGTCCAAGGCCCAAATCTGAAGTGGTGCCCCAGTGTCCAAGAATTTAAAAAAAAATAATTGTTATTTTTTCTTATAAAATGGTAGAGAATCTTTTTGTGAAGGTAATAAAACAAAAAGTACGAAATTTGATGGAAAATTGACAAAATTATGCTCTCGTGAATTTTGATGTGTCAGCGATATTTACAAATTGGCGATTTTGCCGATTTTGACTCCCATTTTAGGCCAATTACATTATTCCAGTCAACCAAATTCTTAGCTATTTCACTAGTATTACTTCTATTCTATCGATTGAGCACAAGAAATCGCCAAGTCAACTGTTTCAACTACAAAATAAAGTGATCGGAAATTGTTAATTTGGCCAATTTAACACAAAGTTCAAAATATTCCTATTTCAAAATAGGGTCCAGAATAAACAATGTAGGTATTCCTGGAACTAAACTAACATTTCCTCTGTTCATTAGTTACGTTTTGAGGCTTTACAAATAAATTCCATTTTGATTTTTTACTCACATAATGAATTTTTTTCACACCAAAAAATAGAAGATTTACTGTTATGCAATACTGTAATAATTGTATAAATGTCATCACCATATTTGTGAATGTATGTTAGACCCACCAGCTGGCGTGTATTAGACGTGTGAGGTCGTTTGTTTACTCTTGAATATTGGCAAAAATTTAACATTTCCGCTACTTTAAGCTCAGTTTCAAGCCATTTCCAGTGCTAAAACCAATCAAAATCATCTCTATTTCTGTAATATGTCTTCCATTCTATCAAATGAGATCAAGAAAATGCAAATACAACTACAAAAAACACACGAAAAAACACTGCAAAGTTGCTGTTTTAATCGAAAAGTCATGATTTCAGTTTTTTTTCTCTCATTATACACAGTGTGCTGAAGGATTTGTTTTATGTGGTGCACACATACCACATAGATGTATTCTCTCATATCTAGGCCCAAATGTACCACTCAGTTTATCAGAGTGAGCTGAACTCATGACGTAGATCTACGGTTTGGACCCTGAACGTAAAGCCGTAGATCTACAGGACGGACCCTGAAAGGGTTAAATATGTTGTGTGAGACGAGGTAGGAATAGATCCGTCTATGAATTAATTTTTCAAAGATTTTAGAGAGCAGTGGTAAGTTAGATATTGGTCTATTGTTATTCAAGTCAGCTTGGTCACCTCCTTTGTGGATTGGAGTGACCCTCACTATTTTGAGGATTGTTGGGAAGGTAGATGATTCAATGGATTTGTTAAAAATCGTTGAAATAATTGGTGACAATACTTAAGAAGCTCTTTTGTACATAAAAGTAGGCAAGTTGTTTATGTCTCCTGCCTTGTTTTTAAGGGTGTTTATGATGAGCGTACCTTCTATGGGATTGGCTGGAGCTAGGAATAGAGTATTTGGGTAGGTTCCTATGAGGTAGTCTGATGGATGGGTGTTTATGCTTGGGATTTTGTTCGTTTGTTTTTTTCCTATGGTGGAGAAGAAAACATTGAGTCTGTTTGCTGTTTCAGTAGGTATGAGTAGGGGTTCATCTGATTTTGTTAGTTTGATTGTTTTGTTTTTGGATAATAAACAATGCAGCCATTCCTGGCACTAAAATAACATTTCCTCTGTTTATTAGTTACATTTCCAGGCTTTACAGATGAATTCCATTTTGATTTTTTATTAACAAAGAATTTTTATTCACACCAAAAAATAGAAGATTTACTATTA